TTTTTTTTTTTTTTTTTAAACGCTGTTTTGTGCATGATGGATGAGTGGTTCCGACACGGCCGTACGGCGCCTCTCGCTTCATGTCAGGGCATACGCACACGCGCACTTTTTTTTTTTACATACTTCCGGACGGAATTGCGACCAGATGCGTACAGATCCGGCCGTAAATGCGGTCAGATACATGTAAGATAGTGCTACACGTCGGGTCTTGGCAGCAGGACTTCATCCGAATAGAACGCTGTCATCCGAATAGAACGCCTGATGATGGCGGTTCGCCCCCAGAGTGTGGGAGAGACTGGCCAGGGTGAGGCTACCGTCTTCACCCGAATAGAACGCCCGGTCATTATAGCCGTATTGGTGCAATTTTCAGTCCAGATTCAGCTATAATGACCGGGCGTTCTATTCGGGTAACGACGGTAGGAGGACTGTCACAGCCTCCTGAGGATTTTTTTTTATTTTTTTTTTTTTTAAGGCTAATTCTTTGTGTGCGTCCCGAGTATCGAAGAACAAACACGTCTTGGATGTAACGCTTTTGCTTCGAAGAAGTTGTCGTCTTCAAAAAAAAAGAGCAAGTGTTTGGCCATTTTGCTTTTTTTTTTAATTATTATTATTATTTTTTTTTTATTATTTTTTTTACCACTTTGCTTTCTTACAGTTGGATGTAACGCTTCTTTTTTTTTTTTCTGTCAAAGTTTTCCTGTTTCTTTTTTTTTTATTCAGAGCAAGTGTTTGGCCATTTTGCTTTCATAAATCATAAACCGCTGCAGTACTTCCTATAGTTGTGCCCGTTAACAAGCGACGACGATTTTAGGGAACAAATGTACGGGCCACTACAGGAGCGCCCAAATTCATCCGAGTAGAAACGTTTCTACTCTATGTTTTTTTCCGCGGCTGATAGCTGGGCCAAGTACTGGTGGTTTAAAGTTTCTATCTTTCACGGCGGCGGTTCGCCCCATCTTTGCTTTGAATATGGGGAGTCCTGCTTTAGTGTAATTGAATGGAGACGACTTCCGCTTGGGGGGTGCTATTAGCCCATTAGCCCATTAGTCCTATGTCTATGTCTTTCCTCTTCGCGGTCTTGTCTCCCACCTTCCTTTTCGCCCTGTGCCGTTTTGCCGTGTGCATGCATGCATCGTCTATGTTGGCGTCATGATGTCTTGATTTTTTTTATTTTATTTTTTTTGGGGGGGGCGGGGTTGGGACAACTCTAGACTCGTATCTACACCCGTACGATCTCTTTCCCTTCCATCAAATCAAAAATAGAAGATGAAATTAACAATGTAGTATCCTTGTTCGGCATAAACACTCTATAGTACGGAGCAGTCCCGCTGCTGCTCTTTGTTGAGTGTTTCGAGCAGTTCATTTGGTGTCCAGGAGCAAGAGCTGGCCATTGCTTCTTCTTCTTCTTCTTCTACTTTTTTTTTTTTTTTTTTTTTTTTTTTTTTTTTAAATAAGCCCCGTTGAACTGAGAATTGTGCATGCGGAGATGTAATGTTTATCTGTTAAAGCATATGCGAGAAGCAGTCTATGGGCAATGTTTTCACTCTGCACTATTC